CAGAGTCAATATTTCAGATATCAAAACTTGAACTTTAATCACTTTTGATTGTTATTCTTCAACCCCGACATTCGATGTGATATTTAGTTATTGTACTCACACACGGGTCGGAGAGCTGATCCGACATGTCCTCTATTCCAGATTAATTTGTACTTGAAAATGGAGAAGAAACCAAATAAGAAGGAAGAACTCACCCTGGTCAACAACGTCCTCAAACTGGCCACCAAATTACTGAAGGTGCGCAGATATCACACACACACACACACACACACACTGATGAGCGCGACTGAAGCGTGCTGCTGACCGTGTGTGTCGCTGACGGAGTGTGTGTGTGTGTGTGAGACACTGACGGAGTGTGTGTGTGTGTGCAGGAGCTGGACGCCCCGTTCCGCCTGTACGGGCTGACGATGAATCCTCTGCTGTACAACATCACGCAGGTGGTGATCCTGTCGGCCGTGTCAGGGGTCATCAGTGACATGCTGGGCTTCAACCTGAAGGTAAGAGCGAGGTCGAGGTCACGCTTCTGTGTGTGTGTGCGGCATTCACAGCGTGCGTGTGTGTGTGTTTCCTTCGCAGCTGTGGAAGATCAAATCCTGACGCGGCTCGAGGGATTCTGCACCGAACACACACGACTCGTCCTGACCGTGACCTCTGACCCCGTTGTCAGGAGTGCTTGTGCAATTCAGCTATTTATTTGATCCTTTCAGTGTTTCTTTTTTATCCTCAAGTGTTTGTTTTAGCTGTTACAGTTGTTTTAAGTATTATTTTAGCTCGGGATGTGACGTTCTCATTGGAAAGAGTCTCAAAGACTCATTGTTTTGGAGTCTGATATTTAAGACTGACGTGAGTTACTGAAACCAGGAGTTTGAAGATGAAAGACCCGTCAGGTCAAGGGTCAAGGGTGGCGATGAACAGATGAAACTGACACACACACGTTTATATTTTGATCTGTTTTTCTGCTTTGCTCTGTGTTTATATTCTCAGAAGTGTCGGTGAGCTGAAACTGATGCGTCTTCAGTAACTCAAACGAGTGTGTGTGTGTGTGTGTGTGTGTGTGTCAGCGGTTCGGAAAGCCTCAAGATGTGCACTTTACAGCAGAAAATGTTACATGTTTCAGTCTAAAGCGTCTTGGCGTTGTGTTTTTGTTTGGGACGGATGGTGTAACGACCAAAGTGTTTATTTGCGTGTTTTGCTGAATGTATTCGAGACTCTTTGATTGACAGTTTCTTTGTTGTGAGTTTGTTTTTGCCTGTTTTGGTTTTGATTCGTATAGATCCATATTTCTGTTCATGGAGGGAAAATGTTCTGTTACAAAGAAACACTATTTGAGGAAATGTAAAACTCAATCCTGTTTGTAGTGTATGATTGTCAAACGTTCCTTGTTTTCCACTGGCTGGTACGGCCAGACGTCACGAGACTGTCACTCACTGTACAAATAAACCTCATGAAAAGCGTCTCAGCTATCTGCTAACTCACCGGGCATGTGCCGTGATCAAACACACCAACATCGGAAAACATGAAGACTTTATAAGAGTTCGACTACATGTGGTGAGTTATCAAACCTTTCACCAAACCAGTGTGTCCTGTACAGGCCAGAACCAACCCTCATAAACACTGCTGATAATCCATCAGGTGTTCACTAGTGTGTGTGTGTGTGTGTGTGTAGATCAGGTGTTCACTAGTGTGTGTGTGTGTAGATCAGGTGTTCACTAGTGTGTGTGTGTGTAGATCAGGTGTTCACTAGTGTGTGTGTGTTGATCAGGTGTTCACTAAGTGTGTGTGTGTGTGTGTGTGTAGATCAGGTGTTCACTAGTGTGTGTGTGTGTAGATCAGGTGT